CCCCAACCCCAACCCCGCCCAGCCCTTTCTGCCTCGTCACCTCGTGTCCCGCCAAGGCTGCACCCAGAGCTCACCGGACAGGGAGCCCCACCCCACCCTGCTGGGGGCGGGAGAAAAACTGAGAGCGGGCAGAATCCGCGCCCCCGCCAGCAGCGCTCCAAGGTCTGTGAGCCCCGCCCCTCCACGGGACTCTAAATCTGGGACCGGGTGGACGGGAGACGACGGAAGCCTGTGGTCGCACCCGCACAAAGGTTCCCGCACTGTCCCACAACTCTCACTCCCTAGCAAAAGAGCGCGCGGAGCCAGGTGCGGAGAGGGACCGAGCCCCCCACCACGCCTCGATCTGGGAGCTGCCTGGTGCCCCGTGAGGATCTGGCCCGTGACCCTTGAAGGACTGGCCGCAACATAACTTCGGTACAGTATTTACTCCTGAGCACTGAGTCTCAGAGGAAGGGCCTAGACCAGCGGGGGTTTCTGCACCCAAGACAGGACCAAGGACAGGACTTGGCAATGGGAGAAGGACCCTAACATAAAAATAACTTTATTAGGAGTGAGGGAGGCTGAGGGGCCATCCCACCTGCCCCTCCCTTTCTGCACCTGTCCAAGAGTAGGCTCTGCCCCCTCTCCCTTCTTGCACCTGTGACGGGAGGACAGTCTTTGGAAGCCTCAGCTGAAGAGGGCAGAGGATCTGTGTGTACAGTGAAGTGATGTCAGTTAGTGTAGTGCTGAGGACATATGCTGTTCACTGGGGCGCACAGAAGATGAGATGGAACCATTCTTCCTATAACACACTCAGGTATTGGAGTGGACAAGGGGACATTTATTTGAGTCTTAGAGGATGGGTCCACAGCTTAGAGGGAGGGGAAGGGTGTTTCGTGCTTAAGGAACAGCATCTGCTAAGGTTCAGAAGTGCCAGGGGCTTAGCGAGTTCTCCTAGCACTGAGGGTTGGGGGAAGTGAGGGAAAGCCTGGCTGTCCAGGAGGTGGGAGGTCAGCCAGGCCAGATAGCCTGAATTCTCTCTGATGGGTAGTGGGGAGCAGGGGACAGGTAGTTAGGGCTGACATTCTGCTTGGCAGGAGACCTCATTGTAGTTCAGGTTGGAGCAAGTCAGATTACAGTTCTGTCACTTGGTCTCTCTGATCCTGTCTTCTCATCTGTAAAATGGGGACAATAAATGCTGCCCCAAAGAATTGTCAAAAGTCTCTATGCTGTGGGGGTGATGAGATGGGAGGGAGAGGTGCTCAGAGAGACTGTCAAAGGAGATGAAGTGAGGATGGTGAGGGTGAGGGGGGATGCTGATACTGAGAGGTGGAGGAGCAGCATTTGTCACAGAATGCCACATGAATGGAGAAGGAGGGCCAAGGGGTAGTAGTCCTAGTCCCTGATAGTAACTTGGGGGAGGGGTTGATACTTTAATATGGCCAGGAGGGGTGAAATGACCAGAGAGGTATAGCATGACACCAGGTGTTAATGAGGGAGACCTGGAAGGCAGGAGGGAGCTAGTACCAAATCTGCTCTTCCAGACCTAGAGGAGGTAAGGAGGTAGAGGAGGGACCCCAAAGGGAGGAAGAGACCAGGAGGGTGCTGTGTGCACAAAGCTAAGGCTGGAGGAAATGGGCTGAGAAGGGAGTGGTCCAGGACCTGACCTTTTTGCCCCTTAATGCCAGGGGCCTGGCTGCCTGCGTAAGGCCTTCCAAGAGGGGATGGGCCATTGTCCTCAGATGTCAATAAGTGGACAAAGTAGATTAGTTTCTGGCTAACGCCTGTTGTTTGGTAGAAACAATCTCTCAAAATGGAAGGATCCACGGAGGAAAACAGTAAAAGTTGGGTAAGCATTTAAAAATAAATTGTTGATAGCTTTTTTGAGTTTGGCCCTGGGTACTTCAAGATGAAGCAAGAGATGGCTGTGAGTCATTCCCAGGGCAGCAGGGAAACAGTTTGGTCTCAGGTGATGTCAGGAGATCTTGGCCAGAGTTAGGACTAAAGAGAATTCAAGTATCCCTGCTCAGATATTAAGGATCCAGGAAGGGCCAGGAGACCACACTGGGGTTGCAACAAGGTAGTGGCATTGGTGAGGGGGTGCAGGGGCAGGTCCTGTCCTGGAAAGATGGATCTTAGGGTCAGGATAAGGGGTGTGGTCATTCTCCGGTGGATGAGAGGAGCAGGAGAGGATCTCAGCACTTTCTGCTCTAGGTGCTGAGGGGATTCAGGGCTCTCGAGGTCTAGGCTATGAAAGCAGTGAGATGACAGAGAAGTATTCAGCAGATAGACTGGAAAGGACTTGACTGCAAGCTGGGTGTGGGGTCTTTGCCCGTTAAGGTCGGGAGGCAGGTTTGGGAAAGAGAAGTTAGTTTGGATAAACTGGGTCTGAACAGATAGCAGAATCTGCAGGCAGCTGGGGCTCAGGAGGTCGGTCCTGGTTGGGGAGAGCGGTCACAGAGTAGTAAGGGTCTTGGGAGAGCGGAGGAGAGGAGGGCCACAGCTGATGTTTAGGGACCCAAGGAGACGCACGAGGAGGAGACAGGACTGAACCGGCCCGAGAGGCAGGAGTGACGTCCGGTGCTGCAGAGCTGTTCTGCCCGCTGGGGTCGAGGTGAACTTAGACCCCGGCCATGGGTGTTCACTGGAGCCCTGGGAGAGAGGTCAAGGGCGGGGAAGCCCTGGCCCCCACTGCCTCTCTACCCCTCCCCAGGCACCCCCACGATGGGCAACGCGCAGGAGAGACCCTCAGAGACGATCGACCGCGAACGTAAACGCCTGGTAGAGACGCTGCAGGCAGACTCTGGGCTGCTGCTGGATGCGCTGCTGGCGCGGGGCGTGCTCACCGGGCCGGAGTACGAGGCGTTGGACGCTCTGCCTGATGCGGAGCGCAGGGTGCGCCGCCTGCTGGTGATCGTGCAGAGCAAGGGCGAGGCCGCGTGTCAGGAGCTGCTGCGCTGCGCCCAGCGCACCGCGCGCGCGCCCGACCCGGCCTGGGACTGGCAGCACGTGAGCCCCGGTGAGCGCGCGCGGGGCGGAGCCTAGGTCAGAGTGGGGGCGTGCCGGGGGCGGAGTTCTAGCCTCGCCGCAGAAGTGGGCGTGTGCAGAGGAAACCGCACAGGGGTAAATTGAACCTGAGACACTCCCACTTCCACCTCAGGCTACCGGGATCGCAGCTACGACCCTCCTTGCCCAGGCCACTGGACACCTGAGGCAGCTGGCTCAAGGACCCCATGCCCTGGTCTGCCCAGAGCTTCACACTGCGATGAGGCCGGGGGTTCCGATGCAGTGCAATCCGGAACCCTCGACGAGCCCCAGACAGAGTTAGAAGCTCAGGCCTCTGAAGGAGCTGAGCCCGAGTTGGAACCGCAAACGGATCTGGAACCAGAGGCAGAACCAGAGCCTGAATTGGAACCAGAGGCCGAGCCAGAGCCGGAGCCAGACCAGGAGCCAGAACCTGACCCCGAGCCAGAGCCGGATCAAGAGCCAGAACCCGACCCCGAGCCAGAGCCGGATCAAGAGCCAGAACCCGACCCCGAGCCAGAGCCGGAGCCAGACTACGAGGCAGAGGATGAGTCTGAAGGTATTAGGCTGCCTAAACCCGGTGCCAGGTTTGCGGGAGGTTGTGGCCCGGGAGGCAGAGGATGGGCCCTACCTGACTGACCGCTTTCCCCCTTTTTCTCTAGATTCCTGAAGGCCAGAGCGCTGACAGGCCATTCCTCATCCAAGCAGAATAGGAACTGGGATCATGCCCTGGCAGGGTTGGATTACCACCAAGGCTTCACCTGGGCCCATATTCGCTAGAAGTGAATAAACTCTTGAGGGTCAGTCTGGGCTTTCTTGTGATTCTGGCTCTTTGCCCATGAATAAAGGTGTGGACCTGTGCTCTGAGTCCCAGAGACCTGGGCAGCCCTGTGCCCCACTACCCAGTCCTCAGCCCCATTTCATCAATAGTTCAAGCTGCACCCCTGGAGATCCCAATTCCAGGTGTCCAGTGAGACAAAGCCCTGACTTGGGCTCTTGTATCTTCCTGAACCATTTGGGGTGTGTGTTGTCACCAGCCCTATTCCATGGAAGCCCCTGGGCCTGGTGTAGAAATCCAGGGAAGGGGAACTTTTCTCCCCTTTGGGAAGGCTAGAGTTGACAGCCCGGGAAATGAGATTAGGAGGAAGAGGAAGGGGATCTTGGGTAGAAAAAGACCACACACTTTATTGTAATTGTTTTAATTGTCTGGCTTCTTTCAGGACTGGGAGGGAGCTCCTTGAGGGTTTGACCAGTAACTGGAACACCGAAGGTGCTCTATGTATGTTCACTGACTAAATGAACAAGGACTTTCCAGCTGCATTTCCAAATTTTACAGATGGGAAAACTAAGGTGAAGGGTGGGAGTGGGACTGGTCAACCTCACATAGCTGAGTCTGAGGTGAAACTGGAAGCAACAACCATCTCTGCACCTCTCCTGGTCCAGGAGGGGCTCAGGATTTGGGACACCTAGGGGCCTGCCCCTCAGGCTTGATTGTGGCTGCTGCCAGGCTATACCAACATCTGTCAGAGACCAGCTGTGAGGGTGTGGGCAAAGACAGAGACAACAGGGGCCATCTGAGGCTGTGGGGGTAGGGGCAGGGCCAGTGAACGCTTGGGCTCAACTCACAAGGCCTGAAGGACTGCAAGTGTGTGTGTGTGTGTGTGTGTGTGTGTGTGTGTGTGTGTGTGTGATGAGACTGGGGCTAGAAACAGTGGGTGCCTTCCAGAGGAGCCCTGTTCCCTCCCTTGAACCTTCTGAAGCTGCTGCCTCCCAGCCCCAGGAAGTAGAGCACATAAATAGGGAATAAATACATGAGCAGTGGCAAAAGCAAAATGCTGGAAAGCACATCCCAGCCCAGGGGGGATCTCTACCTACCAGGACCCTTTCCCCTTGAGTCTGTGTGAAAGCCAGGACCCCAGGCTCAGGTAATCACCTCAGGAGAAGGGAGACCCCACCAGGACCCAATGAGAGGTAGACAGCTTGAAAGCTGAAGGAGCACCAAGGGGCCAGGTGGGGGAAGGGAGACTGGAGTACACAGACACCCAAAGCCATCTCATGCAAGAACAAGTTTCTACTCCCAAACCATCCCCCCCATCCCTGTTCATGCTCAACTTCCCTGCTTCTCCCACGCTTCCCCTCTACTCAACAGGCAGAAGCAGGAGGGCGGACTCAGTTTGCCCAACATGCTGCTGCTGGTCTCCAGGTTCCAGGGAGGATAGCATGGAACACAAACCCACTGATGTTGCCACTCCTGCCTCCTAAGATGCTCCTGTCCTCTCAGCTTCCCCAAGAAACACCCAGGCCGTGGGCGCACAGAGCAGCCATTTTTGTGTTCTGGGGGATGATCTGGAGCCCTTGACCAGTATCAGTCAGGCAGCAGGCGGCCCAACTCTGCTTCATCCAGCCGGTTGGTGGCCATGATGTGCTCTAGCTGCTGCCGGTAGCGTGCCAGGTCCTGCATGAAGTGGGGCACCCGAGTATTGTCCAGCACCCCATGGGGCCGCAGGTGGTCTACATCCTCATAGGACACCTGCAGGAAGGAAGCTGGGCCTGAGGGGTAGACAGAGGCCCTGGCTTTCCAGTGGCTGGTCCCAGCTCTCTACCAATGGTTTATTGCTCTTTGCCCCTTTCCCTTCCTGATCCATTCTCATTGTTGTGTATCCCAAGGCTCATTCCTAGGTGTTTGCTCTTCCTCTTAATGCCTTCTTTTATCATCTATGCCTTACAACCCCACTCCTGTCTCCAGCCTAGCTCCCCCACCTCTAAACCTGGATATCCAATTACCTTCTGAACACTTTCTCCTAGATAGCCCACAGGTACCTCAGACTCCCCATATCCAACACTGAGTTTCTGGATGTCAGATTATGCCGGCCATTCTCCTGACAGTGTCCTAGGTCAGATTCCAGGGAGGGGGCTTGAGACTGCCACCTTCCCACTCAGGGTGGCCACTGAGCTCAAAGGATTCCACTCTCTGAAGAGCTCTCCAGCTTGTCCATGCAGAGTCTCCAATTGCATGACCACTGCTCGGTTAGGCCAGACCACCATCAGTTCTGCAGGAGCGATTAGAAAGGCCTCCTCCTCTCCCCTCTCCCCCCGGTGTTCCCTTCCGTAGACCTCTCTCTCAACCCACCTCCCATATGACTCCAGAGGGAGCCTTCTAAAACAAACACCTGTGCCACTCCTCTGCTTAAAGCTCCTCTGAATCCCCACTGCTTTGGATGAAGTTTACCTTTCTCAGCCTGGCACAAATACCCAGTGCCAGGGATTTTGTCCCTGGTCATTTCTCCAGCCCCCATCTCCAGGTCTTCCTGACTGCTCCTTTGGTAGGGAATGATGCACACACACACCCCTGCAGGCTGGGTCAAGCACCTGCCAGACAGTCATTTCACCTCCTGTGCTCATCTCCCCCCCACCGGACAGGCCTGGCACCCAGTCCTCAGTCAAGCACCCATCAGCGAGAGGCTCAGGGAATACTGTGATGAGAGCTGGCTGGGCCCTCTGAAGCCCATGGCCACTCACCTTGCCCAGCGAGGTCAGCAGCCGGAAATCGATGGACTGGCGGTGCCGCAGAATCCGCACGATGCCATCCAGGTACACTTGGTCCTTGCTGAAGCAGCCTGTGGGCACCGGGGGGGCCGTGAGCCCCTACGCCTGAAGCCACCGCCGCCCCTGCCCCAGCTCAGGGGACTACCCACGAGGGTACCCACCAGGCAGCGAAGTGTCGGTCTGGCCGCGCTTGGCGCGCACGCAGTACTCCCAGCGCACGTTGGTGTCCTGCACGTAGCGCGCCAGGTCCTGGAAGAGCTGGCGGAAAGACATGTGCGCGGCCCGGTAGATGGTGTAGTAGAGCAGCGCCGCGCGCCACAGGAACGGCTGCTTGCGGAACAGCACGCTGTGCAGGCTGGCCAGGCCCTCCTCGGTGGGGTTCGCCGGCCGCAACCCATACTGCAGCCGGCCCTCGGCGCTGTGCCAGGGCTGCCGCGCGTTGTTCACCCCTCTCAGGTAGTGGGTGCCTGTGGGGAGACGAGGGAGGCAGCGCTGGGCGGGTCATCCGGGACCCTCCTGCCAGACCTCTAACCTGTACTCATGGACCTACGGCTATGCCTCTAAACTCATCCTCTCACATAAGCTCTCCCTGCCACCCTGACCCAACCTGCATACTCACCCAGCCCCAGGCAGCATGAAGACCCTCCTCAGGCGAACCCATACCCAAGGACCCATGGAGTCTCACATGCAAGAATCCTCCCACACCCGTCCAGGGCTACACACACACAACCCTCCTAAACTCACACTGCTCCCCAGGCCCCTGGAGAGCAGCAGGAACTCACACCCCACCCCGCATCTTGCATGCTCTATTGTTTTGACAGTTACGCTGATGTCCCTAGCAAAAAACACCTTTTGCCTACAGCAACAGAATTTTCCATGAAGGGACAGACAGAAAAGATAGTAATTAGTGTCCTGTGCTCTCCTTTCTAGTCTGGCCTATTCCCAGCTCTGTGTGTCTTCAGCCAATTCCATCCCACCCAGGAGGGCCTGCATGTTGGCTGGGCTAGCGGGACCCTCAGTGTTTTCCCTCTGGTCTGTCCAGCCCTGTCCCCACTGTCAAGGGAAACTAGAGAGGAAGTGGGGGGAGGAAAAGATACCCAAGAGGAGTGAGAGATGAGGGTGAGCCCGGAGAGTGGGCAGGCATATTTGGGCCTACCTCTGTGAGCCAGAGGGAGGAGGTGACTGCTCATGAAAGGAAAGGGCCCATCCTCTGAGGGAAGTGGGAGAAAGAAAGGGATGAGGTTACTGGGGCCCTCACTGTCCCCCCCACATCCCAGGCCCCTCTTATCCCTACCTGCCCACCCACCTACCCACACCCTGACCTATCTCGTGCCGCAGCATGCCTTCCAGCCAATACTGGCGGGCTCCAGTCAGGTTGATGGCCAATGTTGGTCGGCTGTTCTCCACCATCATCACTGCCTGGGACAGCAGGTCTTCACTCAGTTGCACCACAACCTGCAGGCAGCAGCAGTGCCCTGAGCCATGGTCACCAGCCCTGGGGTCAGTGTGCAGGTGTACCCACTAATAATGCCACAGGGCATCCAGGCTGGACACCTGGCCAGGACACCCACTTTTTACCATCTCTGCTCAAAGCCAGCTCCCACCTTACTAGGGCAGGAACAGGGGCTTGCCAGGGGTCATTAGCTGGCCAGGTGTGGAGCTGGGCCTGGCACCACCCACTGGACAGCCCAGTTTGGGTCATTTAGAAGAGGGTCCTCACAGGCAGACCAAGCTCACCTCCCCAACGCAGCCCTCCTTCTGCATGTATTTGCGCACAATAGACCAGATCTGGCACTTGGTCAGCAGCTGGCCCCCAGTCGCAGCCTCAAAGTGTTCGTAGGTGCCAAACTTCTCTAGGACAGCCTCAATGATGCCAACTGCCTGCACACAGGGCCGCAGTGGTTGGTCAGGCCAGGCCTCTTGGGTGGTCAGGGCCAGGGCGAGGTGGGCAGGCTGGACTGACCTGATGGATGAACTGTCCAGAGGCCTCACAGTATTTCTCCAGCACAGCCGTAGGCATGGGCTCCTGGTACTCGAACTGTGGGTTGTAGGTGTAATGGGACTGGAAGAACTTGTCCCGCTCACGGTCCATGTTGGTTGGCCGCAGGGCCATCAACATGCAGGGGTTCCTGCTAGCACCACGGCCTACATCCTTTTGAGTCTTAGCAATGTGAGGCAGGGAGGCCGCAGACCGCAGGGTGCCCCCACCTGGATCCCGTCCTCGTCCAGGTGGGGCCCGACCCTGGGTGCCACCCCTG